ATCGTCACATGGCATTCCCCTCATGTGTCTGTATTTTGTGTCCCTTTTCATCTTCTTACAAGGACACCAGTCATATTAGAATAAAGACCTACCCTACTCCACTATGACCTCATCTTAACTAATTACTTATATAATAATTAACCAGAACTTATGCTGTTTCAAAATAAGGTCACATTCTGAGGTACTGGGGGTTAGGACTTCAACATATCTGTTTGGGGGAGGGACGCAATTCAACCCATAACATATGTATTATCAAATCTAAAATTCTTCTGCCTTTGCTTTTTTCTTTTCTATGGTTACTTCCTAAAACCCTATAATCCATCACCACCAGCAGCATCAGCATTATCTCAGCTACACCTATGAACTACCTACACCATGTACTAGGCACTTTTCATACATTACATTTTAATTTTCACAATAATCTTAGAACTCATTATTATTTTTGTTTTATAAATGAGAAAACTGAGACCCAGAGATGCTATGGGACTTGCTCAAAGGGACATAAGGATGGGGCTAGAATTTAAAACACAGATCTGTCTAACTCCCCAATCCACATCACTTCTCATCACCCTGCCTCTTCATCTTCACACCTCTTCTGAAAGTTCTCTCAAAGGAATATTTGTTCACTTGTTACATTTTCCATTCTCTCGGTCCAAAGTTAACTTTCCCACTAAATGCAATGACTTGTAGCCCAATCTTGTTTTCCTTCTCTCTCCATTCTTTGTCTCCTTGCTGGGCCCTTCTCTTACCCTCCAGGCATAAGAACTGCTCTATAGTCAACAGAGTGATTTCTCAGAAATTCTCATTTGATCTAAGCAGATGCCTCTGAAATGTGAATTTCCAGGCACGTAGTAGGTAGAATTGAAGGAACTAGGGGAAGAGAGAGAGAAGAGCCTGGAATAGAATCAGAGATCAAACGGGCATAAAGGATCTGGGCCTCAGAGCACTTAGGGTCAGGCCACAAGGTAAAAGCCTGAGATTGCTGAGCCTGCCTGTTATTATAGTGGGGAAGCTCAGACAAGCCAGTCTGTCTTGCCTCAGGGAGGACAAGCATTAAAACAAATCATTCTCCTGGGGCCTCTGGACAGAGACTTTTTCTCATTTTTTATTGTGGTAGAATATACATAAAACTTACAGTTTTAACCATTTGTAAGCATACAGTTCAGTGGCATTAAGTACATTCACATTGTTGTGCAACCATTACCAGAACCCATCCCGAGAACTTTTCATCTTCCACACAGAAACTCTGTACCCATTGAACACTAATTCCCTTTTCCTTCCTCCCCCAGCCCCTGGCAAGGCAGAATTTTTAAAGGGTGCTTTAATGGTTAATTGCCCATCATTCTATCAGTAGGGAACTCAGGTACTTGAGGTAGATGGAATGACTCTTCTCTAATCATCCACCCTTTTCATCTATTAAGTCCTCATTAGTAGCCATGGCTGAGATAGGGAAATAGACTTGAACTTCCAATCAGCTCTTGTTTCTTGTCACAGATTCTCATAACACATTAGACAGAAGACGAGATTCTAATTTTCTTAAAGATTAAAACTCCACGAAATTTTAATCAAGTGTGAGTCTCAATCTTCTGTAACTACACAGATCTAAAGGTTGGCCAAGTGCACAGTGGCAGGAGCAGGACAAGCACAGCAGTGGGCCAGCTGGCCTCAGCACTCCCTTCTCCTTTCCCTTCTGTAGGTACTCCTCATCCTGACTGCCCTGCAGCCATCCATCTTCTCAATCTTGGCCAATGGTGGGCAGATTGCTTGTTCACCTCCCTTTTCCTCTAAAATCCGGTCTCAAGGTGAGCACATAGGAACTGCTATCCCATTCCAGAATAAGCAAGAGGGGGAGGGTCAGGCTGACTGCTGCTCAGAATACCCAGAAAGGGATCTCCAAGAATCCCAACAGAGACTAAGGAGACTATGACTTCTCTGATCACACAAAGGAGAGCTGCACTCCCACAGCTTGAGGCCAGCCTTGAAGGCCAACCCAGGAAGCCATGGATTCAATCCTTACCTCTTGGGAGAGGAATGGGTGTGGTTAGGAAGCAAAAGGTCATGCTGATAAAACACACAAAAGAAATTTCAGAGGGTTAATGCTAGTGTCGGACTGTAAAAGATAGAGAGCCAGATTCTGGTTCTGGCTCTACCATTAACCTGCAATGTTATTCATGACAACTTACCATCCTTAGATCCTGGTTTGAGAATAAACTGGAGAAAATGTTGTTCATCTCACATGCCAGGACTGCTGGTGGGATAACGCCTATTTAATTTAGCATAACCTACATTATATTTTACCCCACACTGCAGTGATGAATTGCCACCTCCTCATACTGGAGACTTTTCTGATAACTGTGCTGACACGAATGTACTACAGAAGGAAAGACAACAAGGTTGGATATGAACCTTTTTCTTCTCCAGACCTGGATCTGAACCTCAAAGCCTGAGGTGGATGGCTTGGACAGTGAGAGAGACACTGTATTCATGAGACAGGCATAAAATTTCTTCCCTGTCCCCCAAGCTTGACCAAATGAGGAAGGATTCTATTGTCTGCACAAGCTGGCCAGTTATATCTGACTATAGAGATGAAGGTGAATTGTGCAGCAGGATGAAATTGTTTGGGATCTTGCCTGCTGAAGGTATTTTAAGTCTTATAATACACAAACAAGATGGAGTTTGAAACTATAACTGGGCACATTGCCCTGTGGGTGCCACTATTAGCCTTTAAAGCTTGTGTATAGAAAGGTCACTCTGAGTTTTCTCAAAGCAAATAAAAGGGAGAGAGTATATGGTAGTCTGTTGTATAAGAAAGGGAGTAAAACAGAGGCACACAAAACAGTACAAACCCAAAGTCTCAGAGAAACCAACCTTCTGAGGAACAGATCAAAGGTGTTCTTTCCTCTACAGATGTGTCATCAGGGCACTGACAGCATTAGACTGAGAGAGCTGCATCAGCCTCCCTTTGTAGGACACTGGCTTTTTAAGTCTTCTGTGCTAAGCGCAAAAGGGGTCCCCTGATAACCTGATCATGGAGCTTGATTTTGAGGAGATAAATTAGGATGCAAAAGTAAAAGAATTGAGAGTACAGGTAAAAGCCCCAATATTTAAAATGTATCATACGCATGTATATCAGGTCAAAAACACAGAAAATAAAACATTAAGGAAAACCACTTTGCCTTTATTTGCCTAAATGACAAAAGCCAAAATAACTCTGAATAAATTAATAACACTCAGACAGGAAAACAATATACTGAACACCAACTGAGGAAAGCATTCCTATGGATACTGGCACCGGTGATGGGGCTAACTTTCATGCCAAGGCCAGCATTCCTTTCCAATACTTTTGTTTGTTTGTTTTCAGGTTCCTCAATATAAAACAATCCAACCAATCAAGTCTCTGTGTTCAAAACAGTCAGTGCCTCTGAAAAGGGGTGGGAGAGCCCACTTCAAACCTAAAGAAACACGACCTGCCTCATCCTTTAATGTTAAACCTAAAGAAACATGACCTGGCTCATCCTTTAATGGTACTTTTGTTTTCTACACCAATCTGAATACTAACCTATAATTTTGGCAGACAAAAAAATCTTTCCTCTTTTAAAGAAGATTAACATTTAATAGTATAATCTCAAGAATATGTTCTACCCATTTGGAAAAATAGAAGCTAGGGACCACTCTTTATCCCATGACAAGTTATTCTATGAGAGAAAACAAGAACAATCATTGTGTGACTTTGAAAAATATAACCTTCAAAAACACTTATATTGGTAAGCTTAAAAAAATACCATTAGCTAAAAACATTGTTATGGGAGGTTTTCTTCCTACCTGTATTGATTCAACTTCTGGTAAGAGTGTGTGCTGACAGAAAATGTAGAAGTTATGGCTTTTAGGGAATTAAAGAAAAGCAGCAAAATATAATTGATTTAGAAAGATTTTAAATATGGGATCGGAACAGGATTAAAAAGGCAATGAGCTCCAGAGAATCAAAAGCAACCCACAGTCCAGATAATCCAGGAGGAGAATAACAAAAGCACTGTGAAGAACTGCTGTAGGGGGAACACCCAGAGAATGCCTGACCAGCTGTGTGGTCACAAGTTACCTTTAAAAAATGTAACTCAGGTGCTAAGGTCAAAGTTCTCTTCACCTCCCTCATATTTTTCCTTCTCTTCAGGATTTTCAACCTTCTCACATCCCCAACCTTCTTACTCGAGTTTCAGCGAAATAGTGGTCTTTGACTCTAGCTATCAGAAGCAGCTGTAGCAGCACAAATGATCCATTTCTATAACTCTCAAGTTGTAACCTCTATTTTTCAGTGCTCCTGAGTCTGGTATATGAAAAGAGCAATATTTCTGTCCAGCCCATCTCAAGGGAACTGCTGAATGGCATCTCCTCAGTATCAGCTATAGGACTTCCTTCTCCATTTTTCTCTCTTACAGAGGCTCTGAGGCCAATCAACTTTTAAGGCTCTCCCATCTCTGCCACAATTGGCCTATTTGGGCTGACACAAACCTCCGCAATCTCAAATATTAATATTAGAAGGTTTACAGATCACAGGCATGGTCGTGGTATGTGAACCCTTAACCTCATTTAATTAGGCCCAAATGATCAAATAATGCATCATCCCAACAGCTTCCTCCAACTACCCATTCTCGTCTGGCACTTAGGATCACATTTATCTCAAAGTATCTAACATGCCACACTATAGAAGATTTTGCTTTCAGTCAAAATTATTTGAAGATATTCTAGTGTTAGGAGACTGAGGCTATAAAGACTTGCCAAAAGGGGCAAGAGAGTTTTCCAAGAATGTGTGCACTTGCTGGCCCTAGTAGTCTCACAGAGCTTATCAGCCTAGAGGTCATATTCCAAGGGCCAGGCATGCCAAAAGCAGCCCATTGACAGAGCATTGGAGAAGGGCCCAAAGATTTGAGACCCAGACAATATACTTGAGAGGAGTGATGCAGAAAGGGAAACCACATTTTGGGGCTCTCTCTTTCCAAATATACTAAATAACTTGTGTACACTGAGGGAAAAGGTAAGTGGGCTTCAGTAGTGACTTCATTGCCTTTCTATACTGGGTAGAATAAGACTGAAATAGGCAGAATTCTCAAAGAAGGAAGACTGAAGCAGAAAAGTTAAAACGAGTTCATATGAAGCTGAGTAATGTAGGCAAACATTAACTTCACCTGTTTCAAAAAGGATTCCAAGCCAAAGATTGTGTAAACTGGATTTGATAGTAAAAATAGCACTTCATGAGAAGGGTTAGAAATGTAGTTTTCACAGGCCATCAGGACAAGAGGTTTCCCTCTCTTTGTCCTTCTACTCTGCCATGATCTGCTTCTGGGTGGTCTAAGTTTTAAGAACCTACTGTAGTCCTGCTGTGCAGGCAGGTAGGTTTTACCAAAAGTGTTTACGGAGGTGATTATGAGATGCTCACAGCCCTAACAGAGGGGCAATAAAAGATAAAATGTGGTTTTCCTAGTTGAAAACACTAAAACTCCACCCCCACAAGGGGTATTTATGAGTGACAGGGTGGGGCCTGGATATAAGCTATCTTCCGCTGAACCTAGCCACAGGATTATTGACCGACGATGATCTGCTAGGTCATGAAGCTGTAGGATGCTGGAAGTTTAAAATGAGCTCATACTCAAAAGGAAGTGTTAAGCATCAGCATTCTCTGATGTGAAATTTAAGTGATGAACCTTCCCCACTCCCTCCCCCGGGCAACCTAACAGGGGGAGGTGGGACCATACCCACCAGGCACACGTGGGAGAGGGAAAGAATCTACCATACTCTTCTACTGTGAACACTTGCATTATGGCTTGCTGGAGGGGTGTTGGAGGGAAGTAAGTCCCTGTCAGCTGCCACTCTCAGAGGGAATGAAATACTGTGTGGGGCACTGGTTCCAGTCAAGAACATTTTTAAGAGGGACAAAGGTCAAATTAAGGCTTTAGGAAGTGGTGCAGGGGGGATTCCTTACGCTTCTGACTCTATGTTCTGTGCTAATCTCTCTAAATATTCAATATGGCTATGAGCAACACAGATTAACAGATCATGTTTAAACTGCAGACATTTACAAAGTATCCTTTGTAAAACACTAGGAAATAGGCATAGAAATAGGAGCAGCAGGGCCAGGGACTTACTCCAGGGGGAAAATGAATCTAAATTGACTTTGTATAGAATTGAGTATTGTCCCACTCTCTTCCTCGATCACAATAAACCTGTAAGTGTTCCTTTCTTCAAAGGTAGATTGCAAGAAAGAGACTGACAAGAGTTCCCAAATAACTGGGCAAAAGAATTTTCTGAGAAGATGAACACAGCAGAAAAACTTCGGCTGATGCTATGAGGTCTTGTTCCATCCCCATCAGTGTCTTCATGGACCCCATTGGGTCCAACAAGAAACTCCTCAGGGAGTAAGAAAAGTTAGGCTCATATCTCCTTCCTTCCACAGCCACATTGACACATGTGCCAGCAGTACATTTAGGGTACTTGTGACTGTTGCCCAGCTTTTAGCGTTTTTTTAAAAGGAAACCAAAATTATATTCCCCCATCCCCACTCCCAATCACCCATCAGCATGGCTCATTGATTGAAGGACTTGGCAAGCCAGTTTGCCTCAGAACAGAAGGCAAACACTAGAGCGTATCAGGAAGAAAAGGCCTTTGGGTATTACACGGCTTCCTTCTGCCCACTTCTCGGGCAAAAAATTAGTTCTACTTACTACATTTGAAAGACTAATTTTTAAAAAATTAATAAAAATGACAATTTCCCTGTCAAGATCACATGAACATAAACGGTAAAGCAAAGTCTGTGGGGAGGGTATATGAAAGCAGAACAGGCTTCTAAGGTATAGTCAGCCTCCTTCTTGGAGTGGGTGGGTGATGCCACCTGGAGGATGGGTTGTCTGGTCCCCCCATCCTAAGTCCTCTTGCCCCAATTGTTTTTCCTTTGTAACTGTCCTTAGGTTTAGTGTTGGGATCACAATTTGGAATTCAACAGAGAGCTTTTGAAAATGATGGGACAGAGGGAGGGGAGACGAAAGGAGGGATGACAAATTAGTCTTCTTCATCCTCACTGATATCATAGGCTGCAGCCTTGTGCCTGGAGAGGTTCGCTGGGGAAGAAGGCGGGGAAGTCTTGCCAGAGAAGGGCCATCGGAAAGAGGGGGAAGGGGAGCGGTCACGAGTGGGGCTGCTGCTGGGACTCTGCTTTGGACTGATGGCCTGCAGCATCCGGCCTTTCCCCTCTTTCAGCATATGTTTCTGGGGAGACCAAAAGGAAGAGTTAGAAGAAACCTATAGATCCTACTAAATCGCTCTGAGGGTCTGAGATTTCAAATTACCATGAGTGCTCTCTGAAAGGTCAAAAGTGATCGGGTAAGCCAGAGGAGGGACATAGCTATAATTCTAAGTAATTTGCTCCCTAAAGTGGTCTATGCCACTTATCAAGGGTTCCCACTTGCTATCCACAGTCACCCAATCCTTGATGTCTATGTCAAAGGAATTCTTAAAAGGCTACTTGACTTGTGCTCCAGGCAAAAACAAAGGAACTAACTCAGACAAAAGGGTACCTATCCTAGTTTTAGAGTTCTCTGGAAAAAAAATTTCCATATTCTCCCTGAATAATCTATTCTGGTATCCAAACACACTCACAGTCAGATCCTTCCTTATATTTAACATAGGGCTCGCTTGCTGAATAGCTACATGTACACCCTTTATTTGGCTTGAAGAGGCCTTGCTACTCCTCAAGGTCAGAATTCCTACCTCACCCAGTGATCCCGAAGCAGCTGTTTGCAGTAGAGGCAGATTTCTTTTTACTGTTCTTTGTTCTTTCCTTTCCTTCTAACACTATAATGTAGAAGATGGACAAGGCTACTTGCTTATTTTGTTACCAGATGTGGATGTTGATAGAGAGCTGGCAAAATTACCTCTTTCTGTAAAGATTTTAAAAAACTTTTTGAGGAGAGTTGAAATATAGTTCTTCCTAATAAGGGGAACAGATTAGATAATTTCTTAATGTCAATGTCCCTTTCTGCTCAAGAATTCTATAATTCTTTCCACAGCATGAGAATTCCCTAAATTTTCCTAAAATTCCCTAAACTGTCCAGCAGGAAAGAACATACCAGCGCTCCTTCTGGACCAAACATTTCCAGGAAACTTCCAATGAATTCTCGGGATTTCTCCTCCCATTTCTGAATGAGGTCGATGCTTTTTTCCTCTACTTTTTGAACAAATTCTTTTGACTTTTCTTCCACATCTTTCACTTTCTTCTTTACTTTGTCAACCCGCTCCTGCAAGTGGTATTTCTTCTCCTAGGGAGAGAAATAACTGGTTTGAGAAATGATACTCGCTCTGAACTTCACACCAAAAGGGTAAAAAAAAAAATATGGTTTGGTACTCTATTGATACTTTTTTAGTCTTTAGAATTTCACTTGCTTAACTCTATCCCACACTTCTCTAGCATAACAACAGATAAGATATGCTCTGGATGGTCATCTTATACAAAAGCGTGATAATTCTAACATTGTGGAGCCCAGGACTGAACTAAATAGGGCAGGCCCAGTAACATGCATGTAGTCAAATGAAGTCACATTTTTAAAGACAAAACATAAACTTAGAACATAAGCATGCCCAACATAACTCAAATCCCATTCCAGTCGGAATGTAAAAGGAGCAATAAGATCACTGCACAGTACTGCCAAGAATAAGCCAACTATAATAGGTTGAAACGGAAGTAGTAGATCTTTTATTTAATTCATTAATTGTACTAGATTTTTTTTCCTCTATCACTGGCTTATTCTATGATTTAAAAAAAGTTGTTTTTAGTATTTGGAGGTCTGTTTGCTCATTAGTAAAATAAAAATGATACTCTTTGGTCCTATCAGCTTTCCTGAAGAGAAAATGGCTGAACCCTCTGGGGATGGTGTATGAGAAAGAGAGTCTTTAATCAAATGAAAAGTATTCTCATAATTTCCCCATCATAAAGGGGAATGAGAATGTGTTTAGGATTTTTAAACACCTGAAAATAAAAATTCTATAGAGGAGGTTAACAACAGCTAGGGTTTATAGATAAATCACATTTAAATGAAACCATTTATGCATAGATAAATCACATTTAAATGAAACCATTTTACCTATTCATAATTCACAGAGCTAGGCGTAAGTGAGGGAGCATGGTAAATTACTTATGTAGAAGATATAATTAGCAGCTTTCTTCTTCTTTTTAAATCGACTTTATTGAGGAATAATTTACAAGAAAATGTATAGCTGTTTGTTTCTAAAGAGCAATATTAAGCTAAGATAAACTTGCTTTCATAAATCAAATTTTAAAACTTAAGTCCTTGTGTCCTGAGAAAATGCATGCAAAATGTGTGTTACTGTCCACAGAAAGAGAATCCACAGCTTTCATCAGATTTTCAAAAGACCTTCCAATCAAAAAAAAAAAAAGGCTAAGAACCACTGTTTTAAACATATTTATATACATACGTACTATGTTGTTAAATGTTCTTATTCATTTAATTGGCCATCTGTCCTTATATCAACGTGTACTAGAGCATAAAGGCAGAAAATGCCTGTTTTATTCTTTTTGTAAAGAGCTTAGCATAGTGTTAACTGCAAAGAGGCATTCATCGAGCTTTAGGAGGTAATAATTATAGCAGACTGAAAAGCAAGTTCATCTTAGATGAAGTGGGAGACAACGTGTGTCCTATAGGGCCAGAGTACTCTAGGATAAGGTTGGAACTCACGTTGATAAAGCTGACATTAAGCTCCTTTGCCGTGTAGCCCCTCTGTAGGTTCCGTCTGGCATACACATCATAGTCCCGGACAATTCGTGTGATGATGTCTGATGTGGAGATACCTTCTGTCCTCTGTGTTGGAGCAAACATGCCTAACCCAAGAATACATACAAACACTGTAACATTCTGGTTAGCACAGGCAGTAGGACTAGATGTAAACAGGGAGCAACATTGCTTTCCTTTCCTCAAAAAGCAGAATCTGCTATTACTATGGGAAGTCTGGAGATACTGATATATAGGAAGACTGAATCAAAGGATAGGGGTTAAGGAAAAGAGAAGCTATATGGTTCTAATATTGGGACAAATACGGGGTTGGAGACAGGTTTCCTGAAATTAAAAGAGATATCAAAAGTAGATGTTTAGACTGAGAACTCGTAGATTTCAGTGCTATGCTCACCTTAACTTCTCATCCAAAGTGTGACCTGAAAATGGATGTTGAATGCCTCTGTGTATAAATTTTTCTCTGTAAAGTAGCAATGTGGTTGAATCTTTAGGCAGTGCCCCCGAGAGTCCATAAAGTGAGTATGCACATCAACTCACCTGCTTCCTTAATGTGCTTATAGACATCATCACTACCAGCAGAAGAATAAGGGATGTCATCATGGGCTACAAAATCAATCTGAAAATAAGAAAATATCATTTAAAACTCAGGATAACTGCCATTCAGAAAGAACCAGTAAATATTCTCAGGCCTAGAAAAAGGACAAGAAGCCAGACCCAAATAGATATTTTCTCTTTATCTCTCTGCTTTGCTCATAAATTCCACAATTCATTCACAAGCCACCCAATTTAATTATTTACGGGTCATAAATACAAAGTCAGCCAGTTTCTTTTTTAGCTACTTCTGCTAGTCTATTGTAGGTGCTACCCTCAAACTGTACATCAGTCACTTGGAAAATAGGGTTGGAGGATTTGCTGCTGTGCTAGTGGGTGGAGCCGAGAAAAGAAGAAAGGAAATCCCTCCATCTTCCTGGGTCTATAAGAATTAGCCAGATAAGGGTTTCTAAAAGTATGAGTGAGAAAGAGGTCACTTCTTTGTTAACTGGTTTCTCTCTCAGTCCATGAGATGAGTGGGAATATAAAAACAGCAACCAAGAACCCTTTTACTGGAATAGATATATCTGTACTCCTGAGAAACACAAAACTCAAAGCCATAAAAGACTTAGGTTTTGAGATTACCATTTTACTACTGTCAATACCTGTTGCAACAGTGAGAAGAGATCACTGGCACTGGGACCAATAATCTTTCTGAGAAACATGCTAAACCTCACATATTTACTCTTTCCTGAATAGGCCATATGCCCTTTGTTAATATAATTGCTACCACCACCAAACCCAACTCCCGGAAGCCACCCTAGTGTGAAGTATGCTCATGAGGACTGTATCAGAGACCCTCACTCAGCTAATATCTCAATTACCACGAGCTTATCAGGGATCCATGGGCAGCAAAGTGAAACAGAATGGTAGGCAAGCAAGACTCATGGTTGAGGATATACTGCTAACAAGGAAAAAAGGGAAGTTGGAAGTTTCCCCTAACCACTTCTGTCTGGGTCTGCCTGGCTGTGTTACTGAGAATAATCTTGTTCATTATCTTTGGTATCACCGGTTGCTAAGTGTTGACTGAAAAAGCTAGAGAACTGTAAAAGGAGTATCCTAATCCTAAATAGATACAACAAAGCCCTTAGCTTTGGGCTTACCCAAGTACTGCTTTTGAAGCACTGTGGCCACCTTTGTTACTTCCTGTCTCATTAAGGAATTCACCTTCAACATTCCACATCCGCTTGTAGAGAACTCACAATATGCTTGCTGGTGTCTCAAGCTTGAGGGCCTCCAACCTGACCTGATAAATCCCTCTCATCTTTTTTTTTTATCACCTTTTATAGAAAACCTATTGCTTTAACGTGGGAGAAATAAAAGGTGGTAAGGAGTTTTATAATACTAACTCACTGAGCAAAAGTGAGAAAACTCCCTGGTTGCTGACCTCACAGAACTTCTAGACCAAAATCAAAGCCCGGAAACTAAATTTAAGTCAACACAAGAGAAGTCTACGTTTATCTGTCTTATATTTGAAATGTGAACTCCTTGAGAGCATGGCTGGGGCTATGTATATTCTAATGAGACTGGTATGCTATGAGGATAGACACATATACTGTGTGTGGCGGTGGTGGGGGAGGGGGGTTGTTGTAAAAAATGACATAACTGGAGAGTTCAATTTCTAGTCCTGCTACAGTGTGACCTGGACCAAGTTATTTGGTTTCTCTGGCCTTGTTCTCATATATAAAGTAGAAATAATAATTACCCAATAGGATTGTTATGGGGAAAGCAAATGAAATATAATGGATATAAAAGTGCTTGTAAAACATCAAACCCCATATAAATGTCAGTGATGTTATCATTAGTAATATCACTGCCATCTCCTCTATGTGAAATTTATATGTATGATAAAAATAAAATAAGGCTAGTGGAAAACTAGCTCAAGTGTCAGAGGCCTTGAGAGTTGAGGGAATTCCAGAAGAGGGAATGGGGACATGTGCTCAGTTTCTCACCCGGTGTTCTGTCAGGAACTCTGGTGTCAGGGTCCAGGGGGCATTCCTCACCACCTCATCCACATAGCGGCAGTGCTGCACTGCATCGTAGCGCTCATTTTCATTCATCACTGTGAAGCCTTTGAAGTTGTGCGTTAACTCATCACTGCAAACTGAGTTCACCACATCATAAAGTTGAAAGTCAAAGTCCCCTTTGCTTAACCATTCCTCAGTAACCCCCTCTCCCATTTTCTAAGACTGTAACCATTCCCCCACTTGGAGAAAAATCTTCTGGATGTAGCTCAGTCTGAGTAACAATGATTTTCCAAATCCAAGATGCACCTTCAGGAGCAACACTCACTAATGGTAAGTTCACACTTTGGAGAAGAGAGGATTCAACAGAGGGTTAAGATCTATGGCTTTGAAATAAACCTGCTGTGCATTTTTGCACCAATTAAGTTTTTAAAAATGCTTTCTTGTTATATTTTATAAAAGTGGACCACACAACATTTGCTTAGCAGACTTCTTTAGTTCAGTTGATTCAAAATGAAAAGCTGAAATCCAGAGTAAATGTTCTTAGGTAGGCAATAAGGGTCAGGGTCAGTGTTGCTCCCATGACTGCAGAAACTCAGTTAAAAACAGTGAGATAAACACTGGATATTCCAGGTCAGTGAGCTTGGAATTGCTCTCTCTAGGTTTATATACTTCATGTTTTAGAGAGGCTGTATTGTAATTCTTATTTAAAAACCAAAGCAAGGGACAATATACTCAGGTTATGAAAATAGGAAAAAAGGGCTACTTTAATTTTTTCTAGGTAGCACCTAAAGTCATCAGATGTTCTCTTACCTCCCACAATGAGGTATGTATTAGGGAAAAGGTTCTTTGCTTGCATCAGAGCCCGGGCATGACCAGAATGAAATAAGTCAAATATTCCATCTGCATAAACTCTCACAGGCCGCTCACCTAAGTCCAAAAGAAAGAATCTGTCACAGAAATACATTGACTCAATTTCTCATATTTGAAAAATGGAAATGGCATTGTGCAAATGTTCCATCCCTGCATGCCCCTCTCTTAAAGTGTTCTCTGAATAGTCATCCTAATTTGGAGGTAGACTGGGGTTGTAAGAAATAATATCACAGACTTCCTTGGTTACAAAGATCCTCTTGACATCATATCCACTAACTTTCCTTGTTAGCCTGGTTGTATGAAACTTCAGGTAATTGAATTTCAAGACCACCTTTTCTTAAAGTTATCTTAGAAGTGAAAGGGAAGAATTATACAACACATATATCCAAAACTTCAAAATCCTCACTTGCAGTTTATGTTTAAACTTCAGTTTTGTTTAAACAGAATATAGTTATACTATATTCTGACTGCTTGCTCTCTCATTTTCAAGTTGCCTTGATTACTAATGACTAATGCTTTGCTTTGAAAACAAACCTCTCTACTATTACCTAGAGAGTAAGGAGTGATCCAGGAAGGTAAGTACCAGTTATCAATTTATTGCTTCTCAGTTCCAGATTCACTCTCAATACCTGCTCTGAGATAACAGATGGAATTCCTTCAAGCATTTCTCCTTGATAGTGAGCATGATGTTATACTTTCTCAGTAGAGGGTGATATACTAAGTGTTTGAAAATCAAATATTAATATTTTAGGACTTTATATTAAAGCTTTTCTTCTTCTCTCCATTAGTGAGAATAAAGGACTGTCAATTTATTTTTTGTGGTAGTAGACTATGAAAGAAAAGCCAGGAAATGATCTCTTATCGTATAAGACTAATTCCAAGCCAAAAATCACGTCGAGAATAAATTTATATAATGGTTCGTCATGCTTCAAATGAAAATCTGAGTCCTAGGAACATATTCCCACTATGTGAATAAAGGAAGAACTATTTCCCTGTAGCAGCAGAAAATAACAGTAAGAGCATCTACATCATTCTGGGAAAGATGGGCCAGAGTCTCAACAGATATACCATGCTAAAGGCAGGGATAAGATATATATTCCTGTCCCGCCAGTCTTAAGGACAGTGACTCAAGGAGGAGAAAACTGGTTCTCAGGTTTGTGGACTCCTCTTTCCAGATAGCTTTATCCATAAATGAGTAGCTGTTAAACTGAGAAATCATACATTGCTAAGAGAAATATAAATTTTGTACAACTTAAGAAGGGCAATTAGGCAATACCTATCAAAAGACAAACAACAAATGCTTATATCCTTTGGCCCAGCTATTCCCATTCTAGGAATTTTTCTCACAGATATATTTGTAAAAATGTATCTTATTCATTGCAGCTCTGTTTGCAATAGCAAAAGTTTGGAAACAACCTAAATGTCAATGGGCAACTGAATATATCATGATATTCCCACTAAAAGGTCAGGAGGACATAAACATTATTTGCTTAGATAGCCACAAGAAACTGGTAAAACCGTTTGCCTGTAAAAGGGATACTGGGTAGCTGTGAGATGGTGGTGAAAGGAAGACATTTCAGTCTATATCCTTTTCATACTTTATAAATTTAGGCCATGGAAATGTACTGAATTTATAACACAGAAAGTAAATTTTTAAAATAAAATAAATACACTAAAACAATGAAAAACTGAGAAATAATATGATGGATTAAAGAGTCAGAAAGGTTCTGGCTCAAGTTTGCCAACCAGCCTCCTTCTCTGTAATCTTAGAACCTAAGTCTCAGTTTCCTCACCTATAAAACAAAACAAACAAAAAAATTCTGAGTAGTATAATTTCTCATCTTCATCCTAGAAATCATGACCATGAAGTAACTAATACACTTCTATCTTTCCTAAACAAGTCCATAGTGGCTATGATCTCACTTTATTTTATCCTAAAAGACAAAGGACAGAATATAAAAATTAAGAATATTTTATTGTTTCTTTGCCATTAGTGTACAGCAAGGGCAAAGGGAAATGAGGGAGACTTAGCTCAGTGAACATCTTTCCTGAATGGTGGCAACAGCCTCCCAACTTCTCAATTCCCTATGACTTAACCCCGTCTTTGGTGAACCCAGACTGGTATATTAACCAAACGGCCAGAAGGGGCCACTGTTGAACTAGAAGATCTGAGGAGAAAGCACAACGTATTCATTCTTTCAAGTGGCTATTGGCCAGGATAACAGATTTACATCTGTTGTCTCAGCATATGATTAAGGGCAACCCCTTTAACTCTCAAAACGGTCCTGATTTGGGTTAAAATGATAGTTCTTACACTACTACTGGCTAAGTAACTAGATACTCTCCTTCAAGCAGAATAGACTTGGGTTTCAATTTATTGTCTCTTTTGATATATTCTCTCAAATACCTATCATTGAAACATTTTCTCCCTAAAAGAATTCCATTGCCCTTCAGACTCTGCCTTTTTCTTCTTTTCTTCAAGAGAACACATCACTGATTTTTTTTCCCCATTTTTCAAAAGAGATCTTATCTCTCAAGCCATATTTGTTTTTTCTTAGGGTAGTAAGTTTTCTTCTAGATTATACAAACTTTCCTCTTGTACTTTTTGTTTTTTTCTCAGGGTAGTAAGTTTTCTCCTAGATTATACAAACTTTCCTCCCAAGTGAAAACCTGGGGGCAAAGGGGGGGGTGCCCCCTTGTACCAATCATTGGTTTATAATTCACTAACTGGCATGTATATGTGTAGATTCATTACTGGTTTATCCCTTGTCAAGCAATGGCATGAATTCAGTCAGTCGCTTGGTTGTTTATCATAAAAAGGAACAGACAGAGATAAAATGACGCTGGTAAAATTTATAGGCTAATTTGTGGCTATGTGTACTGCCTAAAATACAACCAGTTTTCTGGATGGTCTTCTATTGTGTATAACTAATGTCTACAAAGTGTAGCACCACTCCGGGGTGAAAAGAACACAAAGATGAAAAAATTTAGATTTTTACCTTCAATTCTATCACTAATTATTTGTTTTATTGTAGGGAAGCTTTCACTTCTAAGTTTCTATGGCCTTAATTTCTTTATATATATATATAACGAAGAGGCTATAAAGTAGATTATCTCAAAAATGAACTTGTAAAATTCTATTGTTCCAAAATTTTTAAAAATTAGATTTAATAGTGCTTATTATAGGCTTCTAAACTTGTGAAAAGTACATATACACATACATATATTTTATGTATCACAAATAGTATGAATAGATTAGCAATAAGCTGGGTAAAATAACTAAAGTGATCAGATCTGAGTGAGGTCCTGCATTCTGAATGTGTGTCATTAGAGAGTACATGAAAAGTTCTTGCCCTCAACACACTACAATCACAACTGAATGTGATCCTTGAACTGTCTGGTGGCATTTTGAAATCTGGCCTGTCACCATTACACCCTGTTACACAATAGCCTGTTTTTCCTTGTTGTCATTTTACCTGCCTCATTAGCCTGCTTATTACTCAAGTAAAGGGAGCCAAATCCAAATAATTACATCATGAATTAGAAGGGTTGTGATCAACAAGAACTATATCTAAACATTTTTGCAAAAGGAAAGCATTCTCTGGAATTTTAAGGACCCCAAAACTATATTCCATATAGCCAAGATATAGTCAAGGGGTACTGGGATCACTGGTCCGATACTGTCCAGCATTCATTTCTATTTGTATTTCACTTACAGAGAGCAAACACACTAACACAATTAAAAAGTAACCACACATATCTTCCATATACTGGATATGTATAGATTTGTGGCTATAACTGCTTCTTATTCCCTAGTGCTTGTCTGGGTTTGAGTCCAGCCTTATATTTACAGAGTAGAGAGAACATTTACCACAGTAATTGGAAGAATTGAAAAAGGATTGAAAAAATATAATTGAAGAATTTACATAGAAGTAAGGATACCTCCCTATAGGACTCTGTATTTATAACAAATGCTCATAGAAATTTCAATTTATGATAATCCCTAAAACCAATTGCCCAAAACACTAAGAGTATCTAGAATACATATATAATATAAACTAAACATACAAATAAAGAGTATGGGCTTTGAAAATAATAAAGCGAATCTAAAAAAAAAACCTGGAAAATTATAGTATCAATAAAGATAAAGTTAAGTGATAAGCATCTCTCAACTTGGGATATTTTTGTCCTCTATCATCAACAGAATCATAGCTAGGGTACTGACTGATCGAAAGGAAGATTTAGGGAAAAATTCTGAAGGCTATTAAAAATGTGACAGCCTGGTGTATTATGTGGAACTTTGTAAAAACAGACAAGATTATAACCCAGCTCAAGATAATATCTTATTGTCTTTACTCTGCTATATCTCATGGCTGTGACAATAGCCCAGGAAGCAAGTGTGTACCACCATACTGCATAGCTGTGACAACACCCTGGGAAACAAATGTATAATAATAAGAAAAAATAAAATTTTATGGAGTACGGTTATCCTCCCAAATAAAACAGCAAGGCAGATGGAAGGAACTCCTTCCCCTTGTCCCAATCAGTCTTTACAAGTAAACTGACAAAAGAATATTGAGAGTAAGTATATATTTGATAAATAAAATTGAATGCTAAAAACAAGAGTAAAACAACAAAATAATCGGGCATTTACTTACAAGGAGTTCCTCTGCTGGCTTCTTCCATCGTTACCCTGACATACGGTTTACTAAAATCTACCTCAATTTCATCAGAAAAAGGAGCTGGCTGCCGTAAGCCCTTAAGAAGAGGAAAGTGCAAGAAAAGAAAGTTAAACTCAATGGTACAAACTGAAATACTCAAAAAAGTGGCAGCTTTAAAGAACAATCAGTTATTCAATATGCTGTGATTAAAATTCTTCCTAAAACTTCATAACATAAAGAAGAAAAAAAGAACAAAAAGGCATTCCAAAATGACAAGTGAAAGTTGCAACCTTTTACCAAATGGGTAATTCATGGCATGAAAGAGAAATGTCCTGTTGGTGATTTCAGGGTAAAGACTGAGTGAGGTGGCTGGGAACCTAAGCAAAGTCCTAATTAACTGGGTCTAGAATGATGGCTCCTCTGCTGCATTGCAGAACAGCCAACCCTGTTCTATGTGATGAAATTGCCAAAGTTCACAAGTACATTTTCATACCACTTCAACTAGGGGACTAGGAAGGCAAACAGCTCCTGTGAATTTTTATTAAGTACAATTATCACTGTGTAATGCTTTCCAATGCTCATAATAGCCCTGTGAAGCAAGTAGTACAACAGTTAGTACTCTCAATTTAAGGATAAGGAAAATGAGGTTCAGAGAAGTTATATAAATTGTATACAACTACTCAGCGGCAAAGAATGCAGGTATGCTCTTTCCTCTACAGAGGAAAGCCTTACTTAAGAGTTTTTGTTAAATTTATTCCTAAATATTTTATTCTATTTGATTCTATTGTGAATGTAACTGTTTCCTTAGTTTTACTTTTGGATTTTTCCTTACTAGTATATAGAAATGCAATTGATTTGTATGTTTGTATGTGTGTATAATTTCAGTTGATCTTTCTATATTGATCATATGTCCCATGACTTTGTTAAACTCAATGATTAAGTTTGTTTGGTATATTCCTTAGAATTTTCTACATATGAGATCATGTTGCCTGAGAATAAAGACAGTTTTACTTATTCCTTTCCAATCTAGATGCATTTAATTTCCTTTTATTATCTCTTCTTGTTCTAGTTGGAACCTCTATTACAATGTTGAATAGAGTGAGAGGTCAAATATCCTTGCCTTATTCCCAGTCTTAAGGGGAAAGCATGCAGTCTTTCACTATTAAGTATTATGTTACCTATAAGTTTTTCATAGATACCTTTTATCAGGTTGAGAAATCTCCCTGTTTTAGTAGTTGGTTGAGTTTTTATAAAGAATGGATGCTGGATTTTGTCACATGCCTTTTCTGCATGATTGAAACAATCATTTTGGTTTTGTTTTTTAATTGATTAATTTTGGTAATATTAAATAAATTGATTTTAGGATGTTAAACCAACTTTGCATACCTGAGTAAAATCCCTCTTGGCCATGTTATATACATCATTTTACATGTCCCTGGATTCAGCTTGATAATATTTTGTTAAGGATTTTTGCATCAAAGTTTGTGAGGGATTTTGAACTATAGTTTTCTTTTCTTGCGCTGTTTTTGCCTGGCTTTGAGATTTGGCTTCATAAAATAGCCTCTGTTTCCTGAAAGTGTTTGTATAGGAATGGTATTATTTCTCTCTTAAATGTTTGATAGAATTCATCAATGAAACCATCTGGGCCTGGACCTGTCTTTGCAGGAAGACTTCTAAAGACTAATTTTTTTTTTTACTTGTGATAGATCGATTCGAATTTTCTGTTTCATCTTGGGTCAGTTTTAGTAATTTGTCTCTTTCCAGGAATTTGTCTATTTCACCTAAATTGTCAAAATTTTTGGCATGAAGTTGTTCATATTTCCTTATAATTCTTTCAATTTCTGTTGGGCTGTAGTAATGTTCACTTAGAATTTTAAATTCTAAACAGATCACATCCTGATTGGGCTGAGTCCAGAGTCTAGAAAGACATTGGTTTGTTTTGTTTTCAGATAAGGATGAATTTTTAAAATTAGGTTTTAAAATTAAAACATACTTCTTTTTAAAATATCTTACATAAATCAAGGACTTAAATGGGACGATTTTCTGAAATTATTAGTGATTTTCCTACGGATTAAAAAAATTTATTTTCTAGAAATTAGTACTCGCAAAGAGTTGCTTAACAGTACTTTGTGTTTCTAAAATAATATGCTATTCATAAAGTAATATATATTCTATGATTTCATCTATGTGAGGGTCAAGAACAGGTGAAGCTAATCTATGGTTAATTGAAGCCAGAGGACAAA